TAGTACGCTTATCGGTGTAGAGGTTATCGGCAGTGAAGCGTCCAATGGCTTCGAAATATCATATGTTCTCTTTTTCGATGCCTCCTCTTTATATCGCTTGATAGTTTTATGTTTTCTCTTTTTCGGTGTCTTGCCCTCATACCGTGTCTCGATCTTCACACCGTCGTCGGTGTTAGGCTCGTTTTTCACCGAAATCGTCGCGTTGTCGACAATCTTTTGTAGCGGCTCGATAATAGGTTTAAAGTGAGTCTTGACAGCGATATCGTCATCGATCTTTCCGGTCTTCAGAGCGCGATGTTTCTTGCGGATCGATTCGACCATCTTCGCAATCTCCATGGCAACCTTTTCACGCTCGCGAATATTATCAGCCATGTCGCCAACAATCCTCCCGGTCGAGAGAAACTCTAGAGAGTGCTGCCGACGACTAATGGCTCTGCGGTATCGCGAACTCGTTAAATCCTTTTCTGTATCGCTCGTTTGTAAGCGAACTGTCCTTATCTATCACTAGAAATCCATACTTTTGCTGCCAACATGTACGATATAACTCACTGAAATCCTCATACGACATGTCGGTATTCACGCTATCGTTGTACACGTGCTTCAAATTGGTGGCGTCCTGTTTAAACAGGATTAGCAGGTTCGCGTTGTCGCGTATAAGATGTTTCGGTATTCTCGCGTATGTCTGACAGAGATAGAAGCAGTCGATGTTCGAGTGGCGCCCCATTGAGAAGTACTCTCTTATCATATCTTGCTTGTCACATGCCACGTCATCAAAGACAAAAATTGAATTTGGACATGCCTCGCTCGGTGGAATGACATCACTGTTATTGGAGAATGTAAAGTAGCCGATTTCGTCAATCGGCGTCAATAAATCTTCCAAATAGCGATATTTCGGTTGTTGCAGCGATTTCGAGTACACGTACACGTTCTCGAAACGCACGCCGTGCGGACTTTCCAGCAGGCTTATCAACACGTTGGTTTTACCGCAGTTTGAGGGGCCGCAAACGATCGCGCGTATAGTTGTCGGTAGCATCGTACCGTGTTTGCGCACACCTTTGTTCACGCTGCAGCATACTCTGTCGTCGTAATTCATCACTCGTATCGTCAGAGGTTGTCGCACAAATTTCATTTTCTCACTCCCGATTTGACTTCCAACGTCCGCCTATTTATAGCTGCGCTTTGCTTAGTATTGTCTAGAGATTGCAGCGGATGTCAACAAAAATAGGCACAGGTCTATTAAATCGTGCGATAAACGCACTTCCGGTCGAGCTTCATATCCTCGGCTATCAATTTTGCGGCCCGGGAACTCGTTTGGAAAAGCGATTGGCTAGAGGTGATCAAGACGTCAACCCATTGGACGCGGCGTGCCGTGAACGCGATATAGCGTACTCTCGGAGCAGCGAACTCACCGAGAGACACACGGCGGATAAGGTACTCGCCGAGAAAACGAAAACTCGCATCGCCGCGAAAGACTCGAGTCTCGGTGAGAGAGCCGCGGCGGCAGTTGTCTGGGCAGCGATAAAAGCCAAGACGAAGCTCGGCATGGGCTTGAAGAAAAGGACGAAGAAGAGGAGGATACTTTTAGCAGCAAAACGAGGCGGATTTTTACCAATTGTACCAATGCTGGGCGCGCTCGGATCCCTGGTCGGCGGAGCGGCTGGCGTAGTAAAAGCGGTGAACGACAGAAAAGCCGCGCAACGTCAGTTGCAAGAGATACTACGCCACAATCGCGCCATGGAAGGTCGCGGACTGTATCTCGCCTCTTACAAATATGGACGAGGAGCGAGGAAAAAAAAACGTCAAAAAAACGTTAAAAATGCCGAAAGGTGTAACTACAAATGTGCAATTGCTACAACTTGCAAAACGTATGCACATTTCGTACTTTAGAGGTGTATTTATGCGCAATAATTTACCGATAAATGGCTCGCGAGAAAATGAGAGCGGTATCGTCAATCTGGACAGCACAGACGGTCCTGGCACTCATTGGGTGGCGTATGCAAAAAGGGGAAATTGCGCAATCTATTTCGACAGTTTTGGCAATTTTCGACCACCCGAGGAATTGGTGCGATATTTAAATGTACCGAAATTGGAATACAATTACACCTCTTATCAAACGTATGATCAGAGTATCTGTGGACAATTGTGCTTGCAGTTTCTCCGAGAGGTTGAATTCTCGCTGCGAATTTAAAGACTGACATTGCGCTATTTAACTCAGTTTTGTCAACATGTCGCTAACACTAACATTGACTGGGAAGAGTAGCGTCCTCGCGGCGACTTACTTTCCGCCCATAGATTTGAGCGACGCGGACTACGAGCTCGGTCAGACGGATTTTGAAACTTATCACACTATATTGAATGTGAATTTCTCGAATAATAAATTTTACTACGGCAAAGACGACGCGGAAATTACGATTCCCGAGGGATCGTACGAGCTGCAAGCGATATATGAGTTTTTGAAACGCGCACTTTCCCGAAAATATAATGCTGTTAGTGATAAAGGTGTCGACGATGAAGATTACCCAATCGTGCTCCGCGCTAATTACAATACGATGAGAAGCGAGATCAAGTGTGCATACAGAGTAAACTTTAGCATGCCCAACAACATTGGATCGCTGCTGGGATTCTCGAATCGTATACTGCAACCGCGAAAATGGCACGAATCGGACATGGCGATTAATATTATCAACGTGAACATTATCCGCATAGAGTGTAACGTGACCGCGGGTGCATACAGCAACGGTAAACTCGTTCACACGATACACGAATTTTCACCGAGGGTACTACCAGGATATAAGATATCGGAAACGCCGGCGCAGATCATTTACCTGCCGGTCTTCGTACGGAGCATTACTGATTTAGTGTTACGCGTTGTCGACCAGGAGGGACGATTACTCGATTTTCGAGGTAAAGAGATAACAGTTAGATTGCACGTACGACGGCGGGCCGCAGCAACACCTCGTGCGACGGGATGCTCGTGTTGAATAAAGACACGAAGAACACAATCAGGCTAACAGCAACATCATTCGCTAATATCAAATCAACCACGAAGAAAAGACTCAAACCTCGTCAAACGTTGCGTTTTTACAATCTGTGGGATTTGCGGTGCGTGCCACCTGAACAATGACTGAGATTCTCAACATCGAGGAAGAGCCAGTCTTTGACGATCGCATCGTCAAGATTGAGACTCACACATACAACCCGTTTGCCAATACAACATTTGGACACAGCGACGAGATAAGAATACTCATACAACAACAGGATTTATATACGTTGCCGTATGAGAGTTTGCTCTACATCGAGAGAGAACTGCGGATAAATCATCCAGTTGAGGGATCCAATGTGGCGCTGGGAAATAATTGCGTCACATTCATGTTTGACGAAATTCGTTATGAGCTCGATGGTGTGGAGATTGATCGCAACAGGAATGTGAGAATAACAAGTCTGCTGAAAAACTATGTAACAATGTCATCCGATAGAAGCGTGATTATGCGAAATGCAGGCTGGGATAGCCCGACTACTGTAAATGGATACTTTAATTTTTGTGTGCCGCTGCACATGTTGCTGGGATTTTGCGAGGATTACAAACGCATGGTTATTAATGCGCGTCATGAGTTGATTTTAATACAAGCGCGCAACGACAATAATTGTTTGTATGGAGATTCTGCACTGGAGCCTGCGATCAACATATTCAAGATACAATGGCGAATGCTACACGTGTTGTTAAGCGAGATTAAGAAGCTGTCGATGCTGCGCGCTCTGGAAAGCGGACGTTACCTCAGCATGGGTTTCCGCTTGTGGAATCTATACAAATTTCCGCTATTGCAGCGTACGACCATTCGTGGGCCATTAAAACCGCGACTCAACTGGAGAAGCCGCGATATGTAATTTTTGCCCTGCAGACAGGGCGGAAAAACAACATGTCCGAGGATACAAGTCGATTCGACAACTGTAAATTAATTAACGTGAAACTCTATTTGAACTCGGAATGTTATCCGTACGACGATATGAATCTGGATTTCGATAGAAACAGATGGTCGATTCTGTATGACACGTATGCACGTTTCTGCAAAAATTATTACGGATACGAGTATCTCGAGCCGAGCCTCACCGTCTCATTATTTCTACGTCACGGTCCGTTTGTGATTATCGATTGTTCTCGACAAAACGAATCGGTCAAGAGCGCAACGGTAGATGTAAGATTAGAGTTTGAGTGTAAGGAGAATATACCTAATAATACCACAGCATATTGTCTCATCATGCACGATCGCGTGATCCAGTACAACCCGTTGACCAACGTTGTGCGCAAAATCACCTAAAAATGTTTACACAACTACGCGTGTGAGAGAGAGGGAGGAGGATACATAATCATGATGATGTGAGATGTCTGAAGAGTATCGTAATACCTCTCGACTGACTCACATCGAAGAGATCATGTCTGCACCAACATTTGTCGACCTGCAAGGATTTATCCTAAATAAACGATTTATTGTGAAGGAAGCGGCAATCCTGAGAAGAGGATATATCCTGTCGCACTATTTCTTCGCATGCCTTGTGCCATGAAGCGTGCTTATAAAGTCGGAAAGGCGCCAGGCCTCGTGGTTAACTCAGCATCATCACAGCTTGCAATGGGAGGATGGAAATGTTCCATACTGCATGGCTCAGCGCTTGATTACGGCAGCTATCGCTGGCATAAATGAACAAGAAGAGGAGGAAGAAGAGTCCTCTCTCGTGTATGTAAAAGGACTCGAAAAGCGAGAATGGCTTGCCGAATCAATAGACGATGCGAGCAGCGGTTTCACCATTGAGATTTTGGTTGCCATATATGAAGATGTACCCGCATTAAATAAGTTAGATCCCACATATACTCTGCGGTGTAATAAACATGTAAAAAATTGCGCGTTACAAAATGTATTTAAATTATTTAATTGGTGGTCGGCCAATCGCGACAATCATCCGTTTTTTTTTTAATAAACATATTGAGAATATTTTCTAAATATTAGAAACCGCTGGTTCGACCAGAGACATTGTACTAGGTCAGGATTTTCTAGACGATAACGAAATAACGTTAGTCTATCGGCCTCAACGGAAGGTGCGTAAAAACGATTTAGAATGCGGGCTAGAATCTTTCCTGACGGCTTTATTACGAATCGAAACTTGCGCACTCACGGATGATAGGAGTGTCGTGCCGAGAGAATTTCTCACAGATTTCGGTCAAGAAGCAGAGGAAAAATTACGAGAAATAATCGAAAAAGTAAAAAACACGAGCGTTCGATTAATCGATGACGATTACACAGTGAAAGTAAATTTAAAAGATACATCCGAATACGCGTACGCACCTAGACGATTCGCACACGTGGAAAAAATTCAAATACGCGAAATTATAGACGATTTGTTAAAGCGTGATATAATTACGAGCAGTACGTCGCCGTATTGCGCGAGAATTGTGCCAGTAAGGAAAAAAAACGGCTCAATGCGACTGTGCGTCGATCTTCGGCCGTTAAATAGTCGAATTGTAAAACAAAAGTTTCCATTTCCGATAATAGAGGATTGCCTATCGAGACTTGGAGAAAAGCGTGTATTCACTCTGTTAGATTTAAAAGATGGGTTTCACCAGATAAAAGTTCAGGAGGACTGTCGAAAGTATTTCTCATTTGCTACTCCGGACGGGCAGTATGAATATAAAAGACTTCCATTCGGGTATAGCAAATCACCCGCCGAATTTCAGAAACGGTTAATTAATATTTTTCAGCCATTAATTCGCGAAGATAAACTTATAATATATATTGACGATATAATGATTCCGTCGGACACGGTAGAAAAGAATTTGGAAATTCTCGAAGAAGTCCTATTTACACTCAAACGGTACGGTTTCGAGCTCAATTATAAAAAAAGTAAATTCCTGCAGAGAAGCGTAGAGTATCTTGGATATGTGGTATCGGGCGAGGGAATTACGCTTAGCGACCGGCATACCGAGGCGGTCCGTAATTTCCCGGAACCGCGTAACGCGCACGAGGTACAAAGATTTCTCGTGCTAACTAATTATTTTAGAAAATTTATAAAAAATTATGCGTCAATCGCGAAACCGTTATATAACCAATTAAAGAAAACGACTAAATTCAATCTCGACAAAGAATGTGTAACGGCGGTTTATACACTGAAAAAAATATTAACATCCTATCCTGTCTTGCGACTTTATAATCCAGCCGCAGAGACGGAATTACATACGGATGCGAGCGCACAAGGATTAGCAGCTATTTTGCTACAAAAACAAGAGAAAGGAGTTTGGGCTCCCGTAGCGTATTTTAGTCAGCTAACTAATCAAGCCGAAGCGAAATATCACTCATTTGAATTAGAAATGTTAGCGATAGTTCGAGCAATTGAACGTTACCATGTATATTTATATGGTATAAATTTTACCGTAGTTACCAACTGTAACGCGCTGGTATATGCGGTAAACAAGGCATACATTAATCCGCGGATAGCGAGATGGACTTTAGCGCTTCAAAATTATCATTTTAAAGTAGAGCATAGACCTGGGCTTCGAATGGCACATGTCGATGCATTAAGTAGACGGGTGGCTTATGTAAACGCTTTACCGATAGAACGAGAATTAGAATTTCGGCAATTACAAGATAAACGAATTCAAGAAATAGCAACCGAACTCGAATTCGCAAATAACGATAAATTCGAATTAATTGAAGGCCTTGTGTATAAGAAAGCCTCAGATAGGTCGCGATTTGTCGTGCCGGAAACAATGATCAATAATATTTTCAGAATATATCACGATAACATGGGACATTGTGGACTTGAAAAAACGTATCAAGGTGTATATGCCTCGTACTGGTTTCCTTCTATGCGAAAGAAAATAAAGGATCATATCGACAATTGTATTACTTGCCTTATGGCAAATACCGCTTCACAAACACGAGAAGGACAAATACAAGAGTCGAAAATATCGACGAAACCGTGCGAAACAATACATGTTGATCATTTTGGTCCTTTGCCGGAATCGACCAAGGGGAATAAACATGTTTTGATTATTGTTGACGCGTTCACGCGATTTACTTGGTTGTTTCCAACAAAGTCAACTACAGCGAAAGAAGCGTGCAAACATTTGTCGTCTCTGTTTAATATTTTCGGAGCACCGAAAGAAATAGTTTCTGATAGGGGTACGGCTTTTACAGCAAAAGAATTTGAAAATTTAATGGAGGAATTCGGGGTTTATCACCGTAAAGTAGCAGTAGCATCGCCATGGGCAAACGGGCCTGTGGAACGAGTTAACCGATTTTTGAAAAATACATTTCAACGAGTTTTGACCGAACCAAATACATGGCAAGATCAAATAAAAACAGTTCAATACGTGATAAACAATACAAATCATTCTGCCATTAAAAAATCGCCTTCAAAACTTTTGCTGGGGTATGATCAGCAAAATCATGTAGACCGTGACCTAGCCGACTTTGTAAATAATTTGATAGAAACAGATAACGATATCGAACAAAAGCGTCTTACCAATCGAGATATAGCAATAGAAGCGACACAGAAACTGCGTACATACAATAAAGAGTATTATGATAAACGACATAAAAAACCGTCTCAATATAAAAAAGGAGAGTATATATTAGTTCGCGATTTGCAAACCAAACCAGGCGAAGCCAAAAAATTTAAAGCCAATTATAAAGGTCCGTATATGATAGCGGAAGTACTCAAAAATAATCGTTATGTAATAAAAGATATACCGGGCTTTAATATTACAGCGAAACCGCTTAACACGATAATGTCATCGGATAAACTAAAACCATGGGTTAAACCAATTGTAAATGCGAATCAAAATAGTTGTTAATAGAATTAGTTATAAGAAATGTAAATAACATTAATGTATAAGCGGAATTCAAGGAGATGATTCTCAGAATTTTATTATTGATGTTTCAGATGCAGAAAAATCAATGGTAACAAAAAGAAAAAAAAAGCAACATCCGAGACGTATGTATATCAGGCTGGCCGAGCTGTAAGAGAAACAGGAAACAACGCTGAAAAGGACAAGACGTCCTAGCACGCGTACACAACGTGTCTCATCCTTAGGAGAAGGGAAGGAGAACAAGGATTTAGCATGGGCGAGCACGAAATTCGGGGCAGTTGCCGATAGCAAGCGATTCTGAGCGTTTTCGAGTAATATATATGAACGGAGCGATCGAGACATAGAAATATATCGGACTTAGATTTGTTCACGCTGATATACGGCAAGGCCTATATACACGCGTCGCGGATAAGCTGTGATTAATATCTTTTAATTTACATTATATAATAAACCTATTATTATTTGCACAAATAGTCAAACATTAAAACAATCCTGTTTTCACCTTTCCGCCGTTTTCCACGTTGCGCCGCTGGGCATCACATCCAGATATATATTCTAAAAATATCTTACAGATTAAATTCTCTATTCTCTTTGTTATTTCTCTCCCACCCTCACCAGATATTTCTAAGAATTCCTTTTACCCCCACTACTTTTAAAAATTTCTCACGCAATCGTATTTCTAAGAATTCCTTTTACTCCTTCTCCTACTATTTTTAAATATTTTTCTTTGTTTTTTACCTTCCAGATATATTTCTAAGAATTCCTTTTACACCTTCTCCTGCTTTTTTTTAAATATTTCTCTTTGTTCTTTCTCTCCAGATATATGTCTAAGAATTCCTTTTACCCCTTCTCCTAATATTTTAAAAATGAGCGTTACTCGATTATTAGTACTTTTTTATATACGATAAGTCTCTCGTCGACTGTTCTAACTGACGGTTCACTTTTTAATACTGTAACGTTGCACCTTTCCCGACGCCACGGATCGGCTCGTCGGTGCCAGGATTCGGGAAGAGGGGAGACTCAGATTCGCAATAACACTCGGTTGTTCTGGTAAAAATATAGTTTATTCGGGCCACCTTTCAGGGGTTGACCCATTATTTAGTATGTAAGTACATAGTATTGTATAACGGACGAAACGCGACCAGATGATACGCGGACACGACTTATAGCTAGAATTTACAGATAGGAGTATTACGGACGAGACGCGACCAGATTATACGGACGCGGACACGACTTATAGCTAGAATTTACAGACAGGAGTATTGCGGACGAGACGCGACCAGATTATACGGACGCGGACACGACTTATAACTAGAATTTACAGATAGGAGTATTACGGACGAGACGCGACCAGATTATACGGGCGCGGACCCGACCTATAGCTAGAATCTACAGATAGGAGTATTACGGACGAGACGCGACCAGATTATACGGACGCGGACACGACTTATAGTTAGAATTTCCAACGTGGACGCGGGTACGGGCGCCCTGAGAAGGGCGGGCTCCGTCGAGCGCCGGTGACTTACGGACGGGACCCGGTGACCGAGGACACTCGGCCTACACGACGAGAACGCTCGTCGGCCGGGATGACTTACGGACAGGACCCGGTGACCGAGAACACTCGGCCTACACGACGAGAACGCTCGTCGGCCGGGATGACTTACGGACAGGACCCGGTGACCGAGAACACTCGGCCTACACGACGAGAACGCTCGTCGGCCGGGATGACTTACGGACAGGACCCGGTGACCGAGAACACTCGGCCTACACGACGAGAACGCTCGTCGACCGGGATGACTTATGGACAGGACCCGGTGACCGAGAACACTCGGCCTACACGACGAGAACGCTCGTCGGCCGGGATGACTTACGGACAGGACCCGGTGACCGAGAACACTCGGCCTACACGACGAGAACGCTCGTCGGCCGGGATGACTTACGGACAGGACCCGGTGACCGAGAACACTCGGCCTACACGACGAGAACGCTTGTTGACCGGGATGACTTATGGACAGGACCCGGTGATCGAGAACACTCGGCCTGCACGACGAGGACGCTCGTCGGCCGGGATGGTTGGGAGCGTGGGATTTGAGGAGTGATCTCTGAGTACGCTCGAGGGACTAGGACGGGACTGGCTGTGAAGCTTCGGCTGCGCCGCTCTTTATACCCGACGAGCCCCCCACTCCAAGAGTAGCTTGGAGGGGGTCGATGACGGGTGGGGGCGAAAAGGCGGATTTCCAACGTGTTTATATGTTGGCCCCGTAAGGGGCCGTTTACATGAGCGCGGATGGTTAACTGGCCACGCGTATGTGTGGCTAGTGACGGCTAATCGGGTCGTCACAATACCCTCGGTTCAAAGAAGCAGCAGCATGAATTACTACATGCCGAGACGTGATGAAACGTGCGAGAAGAAATGTGACGAGTAAGTATAACTTTTTTTGTATTTTTTTATCTTTTTATATTTTTTTTACGAATTATAATTTTTATCTAATTTTTACAGCGTTTCGCTGGAGCCTCGTGCGGTTTGTATACTAGGAAGACGATACGCATTGACGGCCACGGAATTTAAATTCCTCGAAATCGGCATCAGAGTGAATCCGCCGAGTTACGTGGAGATCGCCATAGGAGATCATCGGGGAAAACAGCT